ATGCAAACATTCAGGACGTTTGTGGTATGTCGTGCATGAAATTCAATGTACACAATTTTTTCATACTAATTTCTGTCAATTTTCACAAACGTTTTCATTGAATGTGCATCTGTGCTAGGGGCTTATTAAAACATGTATTTACATATTTAAAAATTCTTTTGTATAATTCAAAATGATTAAAAAAATGAGTGTAAGAGTATTGATGGCAAGAGAAAAGCAAAAAAAAAATTATAAATGCATATTAAATAAATAATTTGCTTGACTGCTCATAATACTCGCTCTTAGTTTGATTAATTTGGCAAAATAAAATAATATATTGATGCGTTAAGCTATAGATGTCAATTTAAGCCGATATAATTTAGTATTTTATCATAGATACTCTGATACTCTTTTGAATATGCAATATGTACAATGTACATAAGCTTCAAATGTATTCATACGAATGATTGATGGTGTAGTGTTAGGTACATTTTGTTTTTCAATATTAAATTGATGTATCTTATATTGAAGAAAAACAAATTGTTTTATTTATCCACCATTCAATGTAGTACAAAACAAAAAAAAAAAAGAAAAATGTTTATTTGAAAATAATTGGCATATAAAATATGGCATATTTTAAATCAATCTGAGTTTCTATAATCAAAACGGATATTAATCATATGTCACGTGCATTTTTTGTGATTACTTCAAAGTTGGTTTTTCCTGATAACATTTTTTTTTATTCAATCTTATTAAATCAACAAAAAGGTTCATTACTTTTTATATAAAAATGTTTAAAAATTAGCAGGACAAATTATATTTTTCCATGTTAGGCATCAATTATATATTAGGCAGCAATTATTTTAATTTTTTGCATCAAGATTTTATTTAATAGCGTATATAATTTGCTAAATTTAGCTAATATGTAATTTGGACATGTAATGAAGTTTATTTAATCATATTTTTTTATGAAAATAAATGCAATGAAAATTAATATTTTTTCTTAACAAAACGAATCACAATTTAATTGTTTTAATAAACATTTGCACTGGTAAACAATTTAATTATAGGTATAACTACGAACGTAGGATCTTAATTAATATAACCATTAGCATTCATATATCGTCAAATGCTAGTATATACGTAATGTAAAAACCAAGCAATTTTAGTTGCAGAATGTTTTTCATCTGAATTCCGACCCAAGTTAAACTAGTGTAAAAACTTTATTATGGAAATTAAAATTACTATACAGTAATTTTTTACTGTAATATTTTACTATATAGTGAAATTACTATAATTTTATATAATATGTGTAAGAGCGGAAGCATATATTTGTAAAAACCTAAATAATTTGTTAAAATAAAAAATTGTATATGTAACTACTTATTCTTAGCCTTTTTTGTGAAGTTTTGTTTATAATTCCTGTTTATATGCTTCTATTTTTCAGGTCATAAGATCAAGTTTTCTTTTTAATTCCATTTCAATTGCTCTTATTTTTCAGGTTATCCAATCAAGTTTTATTTATAATTCCCTTTCAATTGCCTTTATTTCTTAGGTGATCCGATCAAGTTGCTTCGTTATTTACCTAAATTTGATCTGCTTCTGTTTCTTCTGCTTTCAGGGCGTTTTATAAACCGTTCTAATCGAATCTTAGCCTCTCATTAAAGTTTCTTTTATAATTTCTATTTATTTGCTTTTATTTCTAAGGTCATGCGATCATGTTCTTTGAAATCTTTGAAACAAATTTTATCTGATGGTATTTGTTTTATCTATTTTCTTTACATGTCTAACCTACTATATATCAATTTTTATGGGTTGTTGTTCCACTCTGCGTAACGAATTTGCCATTATATCTAAAAATGAATGTGTCAATTTTTCTTACTTAAGCAAGTAGGCAGAATAATTTTGCTCAATTAATAGTATCTAATATTACCAGAACTCATTTAATCATTATCTATAATTATCAGATTTTTTTATAGCTAAGGTATCTGCTACATTGATAGGATTGTTATAAGCAATTTCTAGAGTCACATGTTTGAGTTTTTTGTCTATATATGGGAGAATAATGCTATATGTGATCAGTCGTAAAGAATAATTAGCTAATTTTGTTTGTTTTATTAGATACGAGTGCTATAAAACATTACTTAAAGATATCTATGTATTTAGATAATTAAAATGAAGTAAATTGTTAAAAGGAGTACAATGTTATTCAAGTCATTTATTTCAAACCCTACTTTTTACAAGTACTGTTATAGCTAACCCTACCCACAAATTCATTACGTTTATTATAAAAAATTATTTATGTATATATTTTGTTATTGTATGTAAATATTATATTTAATATTATTGTATCAATTATATAAATCAATCTCACATTTACATCAATAGTAATGACAATTAATATATTTCTAGAAAATATATAAACATTTTTATGAACGTTCAAATTCATTTATTAAAATGTATCTTTATTAGCATCATTAATTTTAGTTACTAAGTTACTGCATTTTTAAATTAATTTGAATGCTTCAAATTATACAGTTGCTTTGATTGTATCTACTGTTGTATATCTAAATAAATGAGAATTTCATGTACTTCAATAAATTTCATTACAATTTCATTTCATAGCAATGAAAGTATTTTGAAATGGTCCTATCAGCCGATATCTTTGCTTCACTTAACTTACGGAAGTCCAAAGGGGACACAACTTCAAAATGAATTTGTCAATAGGAATGCAAATTATGTACAATTAATTGGCGTTTACACAACTAATTAGATTTGCTGAACGTGACAACAATTGTGAACAAAATTTGTTTAGTTAAATTAAATTCGAAAACAATTAAGAACGACAATTTTCTATCAATTTCTTTTTAAGTAATCAGTGAAAGTTTGATGTAACCACCCAACGGATATCCTTTTTTGATTTGTTTGAATGAACTGTTTAACAATTTGAAAAAGCTGTTCAAAATGCACAACTTACCAAATTAAAAAAACATACTAACAAATATATAAATGTATATATATATATGTATATGTATATAATAAAAATAAATTTGTTTCTAAATGATTTCGTTTGATTTTAATTAAATTTTACAATTGTAAATTAATGCTTAGTTACAGTAAGGCTTAAATTACTCTCATAGATTGCTAATCAATCGTAAATGTTTAGAGTTTAAAACAAACTCTATACTATAAAATTTAATTTGAAAATTTTGGTTAGGGAGAGCTTTTATATATACAGTAGTATATGTAGAATTTATATTTTTGTAGATACTTTTTTCTTATATATTTTTTTATTTTTACTCTTTCAAAGCAATATTTATACACAAAAAAATATAATTAAAATTACTAAAAAAACTTGAAAAAAATAGGATTTAATTTATTTAGGTCTAAGATAGTTAATACATATTAATATTTATTAATTTATTAATTATTAAGATAATATTAGACTTAATTTGTTTTTTACTCGTAAACACAGGCTACCGAGAATGAGAGTTGGTGTCATCGTGATTAATTGACAGGACAGCATTAAATACCTAGGAATCACGTTTGATAAGCGATTCATTTGTCACAAGCACATACAAGTTGAAAGAAGTAGTTGCGCAAAAACACTGCAATGTTCACAATCACTTTTCAAACACAACATCCTTAGCGTAAATAACAGAAAGCTGATCTATAGCCAGATAATTAGACCAGGACTACTTTATAGGTGTGTCGCGTATGACAAAGCTGCCAACTCTACTAACCAGAAGCTATGAGTTACTCAAAGTCAGGTTTTCTGAATACACTTCGAAGTGCCATGGTACATTCGCACTAATAACATGCTAAGAGACCTTAGAATATATCCGGTCAAAAAATACATAAGGGACAAAGCCCTGAAGTTATGTGCAAAAACCGACAGGCTGCCGTACTTAGCACTATCTAATCTCAGAGTAATCACTAACCGCACAGAGCGGTACGTAGATCTTAGATCAGTCATTGAATAATCACGACGCTTTTGAGGAATACACAAATAAGTCAGTGAGATGGGTGGGACTCTGCTGAAATCCCATAGCTATCAAAGAGTACAAGTAATAATAATAATTTAAGCTTATTAAAATAATATTTTTATATTTCAATTTAGTGAGTTATACTAATTTATACAAAAATCCAGAATTTTTATATGAAATATCAGAATATGCAGATATTATAATTATTAATGTATAAAATTATTACGAGTATTGCATTTGGTAATTTATATAAAAAAAATTAAATTTTTTATGAAAGATTTGATATAAATACAAATTATAATCATCTTACTTACCTTAAATCGATATACTGATATACAGAAGTTATTCCCAAACTAAAATATACTGGTACAAATACGAAACAAACTATGGGATAAGCACTCATTGTTCCATAAATAATTTCCCACATGCCAGAGCCATAATAAAAAAGCTCACTAGGGTATCCTGTAAAATCATTTTTTTCATCAATCAATTTTAGGAATAAAACAATTATAAAAAACTTAAAAATAATTCGAAACTAATTTTATTTTTTCAATTATGAAGAGTATATTAAAAGAACTATTATTCTATAATGGAACTATAAATGCTAACAGCTTTGAAATAACTTTAAAGAGTTAATCAACTTAAAAATATTAAATAAAAACGAGCAATAGATAAAATATAATATAATAAATTATTTAAAATATGTGTAGAAAAAACCTAATAAAGGAAAAAATTTATATGAGAAAAACCAATAAAAATGAAATAAAATGTACTAAAATGAAATGAAATAAAATATAATAAAATAAAATAAAAAAGAAATGTAGCTGAAAATTACATACTTCTGTATATAAATATTTTGTATAAATATAAATTTGAGTATTCTAGTTAAAAACCCGGCACTAAAACAGAAACTAAATTATATGAAAAACTCTTTATTTGACCGATTGAAAATATTGAATTTCATTAGAAAATTGATTTCGATTAAATGTTTTTTTTTTTTTAATGTTGTTTCGATTTAATTTGATTTTTAAATTGTAGACTTTTAATGTTAACTCAATTTATATATGTATATATACAAAAAACTTTCAATTGCCAAAGGCAATTTAAAATTTGTGATGATATTTGAACCTACCCAATATGGTACGCACACCCAGTGCGCCTCTGGCAATTGATATCATAATGGCAAATATAGAAACGGAACCCGTGGCGAATACGTAATCCGCTTTGCTGCGTTGTTTTTTTCTACCGAAAAGGCGCTTCCACAGTGGTGTTAATACTGTTAGAGCAATGAATAGCGCAAACATTAGGTAGTCCCATCCAAGCGTATTTAGTTCCCTTGCCATTGTGCTAGAAATATATATAAAAAAAAATAGAAAAATAAATAATTGAAATTAAAATCAAAATAAACAATTTTATTTGCTTGAAGTTTACTAATAACTTCAACATTCAAAATTTCTTTTTTTAATGCATTTACTGTGTAACACAAAGTTTAAGTATTTCTATTATTATAAAATAAATTTCTATATATAGTATATAAATGCTTATGTCTAAAATTAATTACTTATTTATTTATATATTTCAATGCCCTTTTTAAAGTAAACTGAGTGATTTTTGTTGCAGTCGTTAAATTAATCACCTAATTTTTAATTTATTTTATTAAAGTCTAAAAAATCTTTTGTTTTATTTGTATGAAAAATTAATATTTAATTAATTTTATTAAATATTTTTTATGGCATTGTGTTCAATTATATATGTTTTAAACATGAAGCCTAGACTGAATTACAAGTGTTCATGTTTTTAAGCTTAAAATAATATAATAAGTGTAAATAATAAACCGAATCCGGTATAATAAATTATTATTATTTATTTCGTGACAGCTCTGTGTGATCATAAGTTTCTTCTATTATCTACCTTCCGACAATACAGCTAGTAAATCGTTGACAGCAGTTGTCAACGCTGGTAGCGCCTACACAATCTTCTTATAATAATTTTCATGTTATATTCTAACTTAACATTATAATGAAATCGGCACTAAATACGCTGTAACATCAAAAAATCGAACAAAGTTTTTATTCATATCCACCTATATTCAATGCTAGTTCGAAATTTTTTTTGTTAAACTTGTTAGAAGAGTTTTGACTTGATTAAAAGTCCAGTATTTTGAGTATTTTTCTGGCTATAATTATTTATGATCTCATGTGATTTTTCGTGCAGCTTATCTGCGCAAAATTTAGACTAGTAATTTTCAGTATTTCTTCTGCCGTCTAATTTTTTAGCATTAAGAGACTGTTGCAGGGACTGATACAAATGATATTCACTTGGTACAAGGTCCGGGTTATACGATGGAATAGGGTCCTGTCGACTCTGTCATAAGAAGAAGGAAACATCAGAACAAATTCTATGCGACTGCTCAGCGGCGCCAAGACGTAGAAGTGAGATTGTAGTCCCAAATGAAATAGATAAAATTAAGCCCATAGCAATTACAAGATTTATAAATAGTTTAAAATTGTTTTAGCTGAGTTTTCAGGCACACAATAGATCTTTTAGGTTGGAATGCAGTTATAGCCAACTATTTGGTTGCATTAAAATTTTCTAAATAGGTAAGTTCTGTCTAATTCTTTCCAGTCATAAAATATGTGTGTGGCGTGGCATTTTTATGTTGTTTAATAAACCAAAAAAATTATTTATATTAAATATTTTTTTAGAACTATGTTTGGACGGAGAGTTAAATTGCTATAATTGAGTAACTAAATCATTTTAAGCAGATTTAAGCAGATCAAAACAGTAATTTTTGATTGGGATTGCTTTTATTTTAACTAAATTATGTTATAAAACCCGCCAATGTAAATATAAAGGTGTTTGTAGTTATTTCGAATAAAAAATAATTAAATGTTCACTTTTTTTCGAATTTGAATTTAGTTTCTAAAATATTTATAAATAAATTTAAATTACATTTTTTTAAACAAATTAATTTCAACATATTTTTTATTATATTGGAATTTATTTTCAAATGATATTTACACATAATATAAACTTCGTAGTCCTTTAAGTTATAAAAAAAAAAAGTTGAAACGACGTACTTTTTGTTATAGTAAAGCATCGCATCTAAGAGTAAGAATACTAACGTGGAAGTAAAAACTTCGTTGATGTTAACGAAGAAAATTCAATTCAAAGTTCCCTTCAACTACGAAAGAAAAGGAGGGAATAGTACTGCAATAGGTAATTTACTTAAGTTCAGTTACCTGAAAATAGTGTTTTATGCATAACTTCACGGGCATAATAACAATTTACAACACTAGAAAAAGAATGCTTGAAGTGCTGCAGTATTTAGTGTTGCCAAATTAGTTTAATCCGCGCAAATTTAGTGCTGCTGTGCTTATGCGATTTTCATTACAGATAAGTAATAAACACAAAAATATAAAAAGGATAACAATGATGCTTTAAGTCACAGAAATTGAATTAAAGTGTAAAAAAAATATTTATATGCGTTTTTCATAAGCATAATATTAAAATATTATGTATGATAAAATGGTTAGATAAATATGGTTAGTAAAAAATATTAAGTACTTATTTTTTATTTCAAATTTTAGTAAAATATTTAAATGTGTCTAGTGAAAATTGTGATTTCACTATTGTATTATGGTTACCTTAATCTATAAATAAGTAATAAGGTAATTATTGTTAATGCTCACGTCTCTTAGTACTATGTTAATACATGTAAATTTAGTAAAAAAGCAATCATTGAATAAAGAACTATTTTCTATTATGTATAAATATCAACAGTAATAATTCTAAGTAAACTGAAGTAATTATAGTGACAAAAGCGAAATACACTACGGACAACAGCAGACTGTAAATCAAAATAGAATAATCTAGATTCTGTTCCAAGTACGATTAAATTCGTCCTAAAAAACTTTTACTATTTTCAGTTTTTATTTCTATTTATTTGAAATATTTTTCTGCAAATCAACAAAGTTCTAAAAATATTTAACGTATTTTGCAAAACAATTTTGATACACTAATCGACCGGAATTGCCCTTAGTATGTTAGTGGAAGCTTTTTGAGTGTTTGGTATGGTATCAATACAATGCTTTGTCATTGTCACTTTTAGTTTGAGGAACAGTTAGCAATGGAACTGCAAAAAATCTATAAAAGATCTATAAAAATTATACAATTTTGAAGAAAATTCCCTCACAATGATGGCTTTTAGTGATGTTGCATTATTGTGCAATAAAAATCAACTATTAGCTTCTCGATATTGTAGCCCAACTCTTTACAGATAGTATTTTGCACTTATTACTGATATTCTGGGCCGAATTTTTTCTAAAGAATTATATTTTTATGGAACCAAATATTTGGAATCATCTTTATTGTGTTATTCTGAAAAGGTTATGGTTTCTTAGAAGTCAGAATCTGCATTAAGAAACAAAAATTTGATTTTGCTAAATACTAATCGTTCTGGTCCTAACATATGTTGATTAGATGTGACCCTGAAAAAAGTGACGTGAGTAAATTGGATGCCCTTGAATGATAAATATTTAAATAAAAATATGGTTCAATAAATGAAATTTGATGATACCGATTGAATAATGAGTTGATGAGCTTGTTTAAGAATATTAGGATAAGTACACATTCTTGGAAATATTACATAAAACAAATTATTTAAATTGAGGTAGACAGAGACATTTTGTCGATAATGTTACAGCTAATATAAACATGAAAAGTTAGATGATGATTGCGGTGAATAAGAATGAGTGTAGGTCAATGCTTATGCAGTCTACACAATGAACCTTAATAAGAGTAAATAATAATTTTTTTTAACTAAAGAACCATGTAAGCAAATGTAAATTGCTGTAAAATAAGTATTGGAAAAATAAAAAATAAATAAAATTTTTTTTTACATTTCAGGTTTTGTATTTACAGAAAATAATAAACAAAATTCAAAATTATAATTTTTGATTAAATATTGATAATTTTTCCCTTGTGTAATTAATTTAAATTTCTAAATAAATTATAAAAATTCATATATTAACTGAATAATGTTTATTCTACTTAAGTAATTTAGACGATAACAAAGCATCTTCAAATCTTATTTAAAAGACATCTCCACTGTATCTTCTGCCCTCGTATTATAACATACTGTGAATAATAAACTAGATTGAAATTACTGCTGAAAATAGGAGAAAGAAATGGATGTGGATCAATGAAACGTTCAGAAAAAGTTAAAAGAACATTACTAAACAATCGTTGCGGTGGAATCGTTTTCCATGAGCAGGGCAAAGTATTGGAAGACTAAGCATATCACTTGGCATCATTCAACAGAGATCGAAGGTTGAGTCGCTTGTATTCGCTTGATATGAAATTCGAACCTTAGTACAAAATGACGTTACTTGGTGGAAGGAAATTCTTGTTGCCTTATGCTTTAAATAACATAATATAATATTAATTAAATAATATTTAATTTAAATAATATTTATTTTAAATTAAAAAAATTCTATTCTTGAGTAGAAATTTAATTTGAAAATTTTATTTTTAAATTTAAGTGAAATTCTAAAAAAGTTGTAATGAAAACCAGTAATTCAGAATGTTTCTTTCTTCTTTTTATAAGAATATCAGTCTTTCACAAAGATGTTTTTGTTTTCATGGAAGCAGGCGGTTAGGGTTTTACATATGACCTGCTAGTTTTAAAATCACACAGTTGGAAATAAATTTCTTTTTTAGCAGCTTTGTTCTGGCATTTTTCGGCTTTGTTTTAAGCTCTTCTGGGTTGGTTGTTCATATCGCATTTCAAGATAAATGTGCGGCAAATGGGGAAGCGCATTTCAACATAATGCATATTATACGCTACTCTAGCTTAACCTTGCTGAGTAAGGTTAAAAAGCTAAGGATAATTCGTGCTTAACGTTCAAAAGTCAACAAGATACTTAACAAATTAATTTGCACTGTTTTTATTTCATTAAAAATGTATAATTGAATTTTAAATTAAAGTTTCGCTTGAAATTAAAATGGCTGCATATAAGAATTAATATGTTAGATTAATAAAAGAATTTATGCAGCTAATATTATAATAGATATGGCATCGATTAAGTAACTATAACTGAACTTTTAAATAATAAATTAATTGATTATGGATTTTTGTTAGAATATTTGAATTTAATTTACTCTTTTATTTCTACTCTATTCAGAATTTAGACAAATTAAGTAGAGAGAATAACACTCTAATTTGTTTTTTTTTTAAATTATATGGTTATTTAAATAATACTAATAAATGTATAGCATGACTCAATTTTATTAAATCTAAATAAAACAACTGTTTATATTTAGTTAAAAAAAATAATATCTT